AGCTGTGCATACCAGACCAGGTCATTTAGAGCCTGCCAGGGAGGGCTGGCGGTGTGACCACGGGCAGGCGAGGCGTGCTCACCTGACGTATTTGTGCGTCGGGGGCTTGGCGCAGTGCGTGGCGGCGATGCCCGACGACAGGTATCGGTCTCTGCGTCGCTCGATGCGCCTGACGTTCACGAAGTCCCTAGGGGAGCGAGGGTCAGGTTGGCGTGTGAGCCCAAGGTTTAAGGACAAGAGGCTGACGAAGGGGAGAGCACATACCTGGGGGAGACCACGCCGCCTGCAGCCCCTGCGGACACGTCGTAGGAGATAAGGGTGTTGTCCTCCACACGCTGCAGGATCTGCGGGCCATCGCGGGCACGTGAGGGACAGCCAGCCAAGGAAAACCCCAGGAACAGGACCCTGGCTCCTCAGGAACCCCCAGGCCAGCCTCGTCTCTGTGCAGGTCCCCTTACTAAGCGCCATTGCCACTCATGGCCCTGGCCGGGTGCTGGGAGGGCTCCTCTGTCCACCATGTGATCCTCTCTGGGAAGCACTGATGCCACTACCATTTCAGAGGGGGAAGCTAAGGCTCAGAGGGGCTCAGTGACATGACCTGGGTCCTGGGGTACCTGGTCATGCCAGGGTGACTTCCCGAGCCCGGGCATGGGAGGGCTGGGCTCACCTGGCAGGCAGTCACCGTCTTGTTCCACAGCACCATCCTCTCTGGCTGCAGGATCACCTCCTGGTACACCAGCTCCGCAGGGCATGGCAGGAAGGTCTGGGAGGCAGTGCCAGGCGTGTTTGGGTGCACCGGCCCTCACCCAAGACAGGGTGGGAGGCCCCAGGACCCCGGCGCCCCCCACTCACCTTCAGGATGAAGGTCTTGCCATGGTAGGGAACCTCAATGGTGTACACCGTGTCTCCATATTCCTGGGGCAGGGAGAATGGGTGTCAGGCAGGGCATGTTTCCAACAGCTCAGGCTGGGAAACTGCGGGCATTGGAAGGTATCTGAGCAGCTGCTAAAAACCAGCGGTTCGCACCAACTACGGCAACCAGGACAGAGAGGCTTTGGCATCAACTGAAATGACGGGCACAGTTGAGCGCCCAGCCACGAAGAACCACATCTCCAGGCCAACAGGGCTGCCAAAAGAACAGGCCAGAGAGAGGAGCTGGGAGACGATCCCCCCGTTTCCAAGCCCTGTGCGGTCTTTCCAGATAATGCTGTTCTGTAGTCTTTCTAGATGCTGCTGCTGCAAAGTCTTTCTAGATAGTGTTTGGCAGTCTTTCTAGATGAGGCTGTTGCGCAATCTTTCTAGAGAATCTTGTTTTGTAATCCTTTCTCGATGATGTTGTTTTAGTCTTTTTAGATGATGATGTTTTGATCATGAAACAAAACGCTGGACACAGGGCAGGGGCTGCCTTCCCCTGCAAAGCCTGGAGCCAAAGCAGCAGCAGGAGGTGAGGGCTGGGGCTGGGACAGGGCAGCTGGGGGCTGCAGTGGGAATGCTCACTCCTGCCCGACCTCCTGCCAATGGCCGACCCTCTGCCAGGGCCCAACCCTCTCTGGGGTGGGAATATGGCTCGGCTCTGACCGTGCAGTCCTTGGGCTTACTTCTCAGGCCTTGGAAAGGAGAGAGAATTCCTAAGACTCAGATAAGGGGGGGTTTCTTACGTTATTCTTCTCAAATTTCCAGTTTTCCTCCTGGGCCAGGATCTGGTCCACCACCGCCATGGCCTCCTTCCCCTGGAGGATGTACTCCCGCTCCTGGCCGGGATGGGGGTGGGAGGGTCAGCCTAGAGCCTGCACCCTACCTTGGCTGTAGCCTATTCTCTCTAGACCCTCCACACCCTCCTCGAGGCATCTGACCCAGCCAGGTGTGGGCGTCCCAAGGCCTGAAGTTTGGCTTCTCCTGTGCCCCCAGGTATGAGGCCACCGCTGATGGGTGGGCACTGACTGGCACTTGGGCTGCCTGAGCTCCCCCCTCCGCTGGGAAGCCCCTGCTCCGGGTGCCCATTCTGAGGCTAGGGCAGGGCTGGCAGCCAGATACCTGAGCAGAGAAACTTTTCTTCCCAGAGACTTCTTCATCTGATTCATTGTCAGACCCTGGTGATGACAACAAGCCGGGAAGACAATGACAAGGGGTGGGGAGGGTAGAGGAGGTGGCTGGGTGCGGGTTTGCGAGTGCGAGGACGTGGGGGAGGCAAGCACGTGGAGAGGGTTGCTGGCTTCCCCAGGGAGCCTGAGAGGAGGCACAGAGAGAACAGGCCCGGCCTACCCTGCTCCTCACGAGCCCCCTACTGGAGGTGGCTCACGCCCACTAGCCCTCACCTGCAAAGGACTCTGGAGGTGAGTAGAACTGGCCCTCAGACAGGGCACCAGGGAAGAGCAGGGGTCCGCGGGCGACAGCAGCCTGGGCGGCCAGATACCCTGGGGAGCAGACACAGGCGGCTGTGGTCCCAGACAAGGACCGGCAAGCCTTCGCAGCCTGCGGCGCCCTGTCCCTCCCTCAGGCTGCGGAGGACTGCTCAGACATGGCAAGGTGCTCAGAAGTGATTCTTGGCCTGGAATGTTCACTCCTGGGGCTGGAATGACCCTTGATGCACCCGGCCCCCACCCCAACTCACATCGCTCCTCCTCGGCCTCCTGGGGCAGGACCTTGAAGTCAAGGAACCAGGTCTCCAGCCAGGCGAGGACGAAGGAGACGATGGGGAGCAGGTACCCGAATGCCCCCTTGCTGAGCAGCTGTGGAGGGAGGGCTGAGCTCACGGCAGGGGTCACCCCAAACCCAGAGCCCCCTCCTGAGGCCACTGAGCTGGCACACACCCCATTCCTGGTGCCAGCTGCTGGGGTCCCTCAGTGAGATGGCTAACTAGTCTGCAGCAAGAGAAGCTGAGATTAGGCTACAGGGAGAACTTTCTGACTCCCGGGGCCCCAGGGGCATGAGTGGGAGAAGCTGGTGGAGAAGATTCCTTAGAAATGTCACAGGATGGGAACCAGCAATTAGCGTAATGGCTATGTCGCTGGACTCCCACGTAGTCGACCGCGGTTCGTGTCCCGGACCCGGTGGCTTAAAACTCACGCCGGGCGTGTGTGTGTGCGTGCCCAAGATCCCAAGAGGAGAATGGAGGAGAAGGGATTGCGGCGTGACCATCCCCCCTGGGGGGTGATTTCGCAGTTTCTCTC